GTGTGTGTGTGTGTGTGTGTGTGTGTGTGAGAGAGAGTGAGTGAGTGTGTGGAAGTGGGGGGGGGAGGAAATTAGCTAATCACACCATATCGGGTTAAGTTGCTTGCCCTTTGGTTTGCCCCCAACCGAAAGGGGGCAGCGGACTACGCTAGGCTGTTTCGGGAATGGTTGCTCCTGTTTGTCTGGTTCTGTCACGTGATGGGGTTGGCCAAGAAAACCTGCGACTTTGGGCTGCTGCGGTTGGCTCTACAAACACAGAGCGAACGGGAAGTTGGAAGAACGTCGAAACGATCCATCTAAGATATGTTAATGTATGTATGTATGTATGTATGTATGTATGTATGTATGTACGTATGTATGTAGATGGATATTTGAAGACTTCTTCCGCACTATGTCCCCTGCCCCCTTCTAGGCTCATCAGATGTGGCTGGACCGTTTTTCCGCCCACCCCCCCGCCGCCTCCGGTGCGTCCACCCCCAGCTCGCGCCCATACTCCCCAGCCCGCCGTAACCCGCTCCTCGCCGCTGCCTCTTCCCACCCGGTCCATCCAGCCTTCAGTCCTCGCTCCTCCTCCCTCTCTCTAGCTACCTCCCCCAATGTCTCTACATCTTCGATCCCCGCCACCCTGCGCCAGGCAAATGGCTCCTCCTCGTTGCCCAGACAGGACGGATCGAAGCTGGACTCGATGTCACAGCAGCAGCAGCAGCAACAACAACGGCAACAGCAACAGCAACAACAACAACAACAGGACCCCCTGGAAGTGCTGTGTAACATCCTTGGGAAACAGCAAATCGCAGGTGACATGCAGACTGTGTCTGTTGTGAAGGCTGCGGTGGCGAAGCCGGAGTGTCTGGTCGAGGATATTGAGTTTGGGGAGTTGAGTCTGGAGGAGTTTGTCCAGCAGGGGAAGAGCGGTGGGGATAAGACATCCAAAGGGCGTGGAGATGTGCAGACCCTCGAGCAATGTATGCGCCACTTCTCTCCTGGTGTTACAAGACATGATATATTGACTCGGATTGTATAGATGAAAAGGAGAGGGATAGGTTTCAGGATCTCCACGGCGCAATTGCGGTATCTATGACCCCCCTTCCCTTCCCTCCCTTCCCTCTCTTCCCTCCCTTCCCTCTCTTCCCTCTCTTCCCTCCCCTTGAACAAGTCGCTCTGCTGAACATATATGCACTCCTAGGGCTGCGACGATGTCCTGAAATCAGTGGAATCATACCTGTCCAGGTTCCAGACAGAACTCGGAGTCGTCTCCGCAGAGATCGAATCACTGCAGTCTCGATCCGTCCAGCTAAATTCACAACTGGAGAACAGACTCAACCTCGAACGGCTTCTAGGCCCAGCCGTGGAAGAGGTCAGCATATCGCCAAAGGCAGTGCGGCTGATATCAGGGGGCCCCATCAACCAAGAATGGGTCAAAGCCCTGAACGAAGTCGAGACGAGATCGGCCTCGATCGAAGCCAACACCTCCACCCTCGCTAATGTAAAGGCGGTCGAGGATCTGAAGCCGCTCCTATCCGATTTGAAAGCGAAGGTGAGAGTCCCTCCATTTCTAAACAGCCCCCCAAATAACTCAAGTAATGTATATCCAAGGCCATCGAGAGAGTCAGAGATTATCTCGTCGCGCAGATCAAGGCTATTCGATCGCCCAATATGAACGCCCAAGTCATTCAACAGAAATCCCTCGTGAAATACAAGGATCTCTATGCCTTCCTCGCGAGAAACCATCCAACGCTTGCAGAGGAGATCGTCCAGGCTTACATCAACACCTTGAAATGGTATTACCTGTCCAACTTCACCCGCTACACCCAGGCCCTGGAGAAGCTCAAGCTGCACGCTGCTGACCGCAACGATCTGCTGGGTGGCGACCCAAACGCTCAAAAACGCGGTATGTCTACCTCTCTCCCCTCTCCCCCAAAGCATAAAGTCCTGAGGTATATATATAAATACTGAACTCTTTCCACCCCCCCAGCGAACGCATACCACAGCACAACCTACGACCCCTTCTCCCTAGGTCGGCGCCTCGACATCCTACGATCCGCCAACCCCACCGCCCTCCCCTCCTACCTAGCCGAAGACCCGCAGCAGCCCACCAAACAAACAATCCACGGCATCGAAGTCCCCTTCCACAACTTCAACCTAGCCCTCATAGACAACATCTCCGCCGAATACAGCTTCGTCACGGAGATGTTCGCACCCGCCCTCCCGCCCTCACACTCACACTCACACTCACACTCACACTCACGAGCAAGTGCCAGCACACAAACCGCCCGACTCCACCAAATCTTCAACCCGGTCTTCACACTCGGCCAAACCCAGACAAAGACCCTCCTGGACCGCTCGACAGACTGCCTAGGCATCCTCCTCTGCGTCCGCCTGAACCAGCACTTCGCCTTTGAGCTCCAGCGCCGCAAAGTCCCCGTCGCCGACGGCTACATAAATCAAATAAACATGCTGCTCTGGCCCCGCTTCCAGATGGTCATGGACATGCACACCGAGTCCCTCAAGCGGTTTGCCGCGGGCATCAACACCATCGCCGGTGCCGCAGCTTCTGGTGCTGCCCACAACATCGCCGCCCTCGCGCTCACCAGCGGAGGCGATAGACAGTCTTCGTCCTCCTCGTCAGCGCCGCACCCGCTGACACAGCGCTTCGGGCAATTCCTGCAAGGCATTTTGGCGCTTAGCAGTGAGGCGGGGGACGACGAGCCGGTGTCGAACAGCCTGGCGAGGCTGCGGGGGGAGTTTGATGTGTTGCTGGGGAAGTTTGGGAGGGCGGGCAATGGGGGTGATGCGAGGGGGAGGGAGAGGTTTCTGTGGAGTAATTATTCGCTTGTTATGACCATTATCAATGTATGTGTGACTGCCCTGCCGTTGCTTGGAGATATGATGGTTGGTTAACATGTTTTGGTGGTGTTTTGCAGGATACGCATGGGAAGCTGGCGAGTGAGCAAAAGGAGGTAAGTTTTGAGTTTCTTTTCCATCATGGTCGCCCTTCTTTTCCTTACTGTGACCTGGCGACTATGGGGGGCCTTCTATATCTGCTGACATTCTGGATTTGGCAGTATTACAATAATCTGATTAGGAGTTTAACCGGGAGGCGATGACGGGGTGTGACTTTCGTAATATCTGTCTTAACTTGCTTTGTTATGTTCCTTTTTCGACACACAAACACAGCATCAAATTTTCCCCCTCACTGTGAGCGTGGTCATTTTGCCATTTTGCATCGTGGTATTTAGCTATATACCAGAGTCCGCTTCCATTGTTACACTGTGAGAGCGACCTCGATATTTGTTCGTATCATCAGTATTATTATTGAACAGGTGGTTTCCAGGCTGCTTCTCTGCGCTTTAAACGTGGGAGGAGATAAAATATGCATGCATTGAGATTAGGGAAGTTCTCTACAAGGATGAACTGAAAATACTTCATATTCTCAGAAGATGGTCGCCTTTGAGCTTGATTTATAGAATAGAGGTTAATGGTACGCCCCCTGTTGAGCTGAATCATATACATCGGAGTTGTGATGCCGATGGCGAAGAGAATCGGCTTACAGACCAACGCACAGAAATTGATATCCTTGGCAAGCCTAAACCGAACATGGGAAGATACTTGCTGGATATAGTAACAATATTTCCACAATCAGCTTAGTCTCACCAAAAGGTCCAACACAATACATACTGTTGACAATGCCGAACCCCCCGCGAATTCTCGGGCCGTTGGATCTCGCGATACCAACCACCAACAGTCCCTCTTGTGAGAATAACAGACACACTGCGGCTAAACCCCATAGATGTGATACGTAACGGTTTCATCATATTTCATATTGTATCCTCTTCTCATGTTTCCCCGTACGACCTTGTGCAGACTCGCAAAACCAATCAGAAGTAGAAATCGAAGCCCGACAAGGCCATTCTCAACCACACCACCAGCCAATGCCGACTTTACACATGCGGTGAATATAATAAAACCTCCCTTTTCCATCTCCCCAAAGGCGTAAATATATAGAATGCGCAAAAAATAAAAATAAAAAATAAAATAAAAAGAAGAAGAAGAAGAAGAAGAAGAAGAAGAAGAAGAAGAAGAAGAAGAAGAAGCATTCCCTAACACCGTAAGCCCAACCGCAGATAATCGGCGGCGGCATAGTCGGCCTCTCCATCGCCCGCCACCTCGCCGCCGCCCGCCCAAACACAACCACAGTCCTCCTGGAACGCCACGCCCACCTCGGCACCGAGACAACAAGCCGCAACTCCGAAGTGATCCACGCAGGCCTCTATTACCCGCGCGCCTCTCTTAAAACCAGCCTCTGCATCCGCGGCAACCACCTCCTCTACTCCCTCTGCGCGTCCCGCAACATCCCCCACTCCAACACGTCCAAGTGGATCCTGGCGCAGGACGACGAGCAGATGCATACCCTGCAGCAGCTGCATGAGCACTCGAGGCAGATTCGGGTGCCAACGCGGTTTGTGGGGAGTGCGGAGGCGAGGAGGGCGGAGCCGGATGTACGAGCGCGGGCGGGGGTGCTGGAGAGTGCCAGCACGGGGATTGTGGATAGTCATGCGCTCATGGGGTGTTTGCGGGGGGAGTTTGAGGAGATGGGGGGCGACGTGGCGCTGTTGACTGCGGTGGAGGGGGTGGAGAAGTTACCTGCCGGCGGTGGGTATGTGATATACACCAGATCCGGTGGTGGTGGGGGTGGGGGTGGGGGTGGGGAAAAAGGGCAAGGCGGGGAGGAATGGGCGGTTACGGCGGAGACTCTCATTAATGCCGCGGGGCATTCCTCCTGCGCTATTTCTAATATGCTTCTGCCGCGGCACAGACATGTGACACCCGCCTACGCGAAGGGGACGTATTTCTCCTACGCGGCGTCCAGTCCCAAGCCGCGCAGGCTGCTGTATCCGGCTCCCAAGGCTGGACTGGGGGGCCTGGGGACGCATCTTACGCTGGATATGGCGGGCCAAGTGCGCTTTGGGCCGGATGTGGAGTGGGTTGATGGGCCTGAGGATCTGGTGCCGAATACGGGGAGGCTGGAGGAGGCCGTGAGGGAGATTCGGGAGTATTTGCCCGGGGTTAAGGCGGAGATGATTCGGTTGGATTACTGTGGGGTTAGGCCGAAGTTGGCGGTCGGGGAGGGGGAGGAGAGGGGGGCGTTTAGGGATTTTGTTATTAGGGAGGAGGAGGGGTTCGAGGGGTTTGTGAATTTGTTGGGGATTGAGAGTCCGGGGTTGACGAGTGCGTTGGCGATTGGGGAGAGGGTTGAGGAGTTGTTGTATGGGTAGGTGGCTGGGAGGGGAGGAGGGCAGGAGGGCAGGAGAAGGATTAGCTAGAAGGATTGGGGTTTACTTTGCTGGTCTTTTGGGATGTGGTGTGTGGATATATCAATGATAGATAGATGAAGATACCCTATTTGAATTATGCGTATAGACGTCTCATGCAGTGACTGGCTACACTCTCTCGCATCAAAACTCGTTTAATACATAAATACAGAGTGATCGTATCAAACACTCATAGCTCGTGGCTACATCCATACCCCGTAACATATCAATGACGTACAAACAGCGTATATATGCCTTGAATAATCCTCGAAGACACAGCGGCATATGAACTCTCAGCAAAGAAACCCACCTTCCTACCTTCTTACAGGCGCATCGTCACCTCAGACGAGGTCGAGGAGGTGTACATAGTGCGCACCAGCTCCGTAACTGCAAAACAATCCCATGTCAGACGCACTCGGGACAATACACAGCCGTAGGAGAGAGGCCACAATACGAACCAGCCTTCAAATCAGGATGTGTGGGATCTCGCAGCGCGCGAATCGCAATATCCTCTTCCTCACCGGACTTGACGTTGTACTAGAAGCTCAAAATCAGCCGTCAATCATCCATCCCTTAAAACACCGGTCACAGAGACAACCAAAAGGGTAACAAAGAAAGGGGGAGGATATAGAAAACACATCATACATCTGCCAATCCACTCGCCAAACCCAGTCTCCCAACCAACCCCTCAACCGCCTCGGCCACCAATAGCGCATCCCCACCCACCCTCCCCGTCCCCTTCAACCCAGGGATAAACGCCACAGCCCTCGCAATCTGCTTCGCCTCCTCCCCCTCCTC